TTATCTGTGAAGTGCAGTAAAACAATGTATGCCTCATGAAAAGATGCTCCACATCACTAATAATCAGAGAAATGCAAATTAAAACCACAATGAGATATCACCTCACACCAGTTAGGATGGCCAACATCCGTAAGACAAGGAACAACAAATGCTGGCGAGGATGCGGAGAAAGGGGATCCCTACACTGCTGGTGGGAATGTAAATTAGTTCAAGCATTGTGGAAAGCAATTTGGAGGTTCCTCAAAAAACTAAAAATAGAAATACCATTTGACCCAGGAATTCCACTCCTAGGAATTTACCCAAAGAAAACAAGATCTCAGATTCAAAAAGATATATGCACCCCTATGTTTATCGCAGCACTATTTACAATAGCCAAGATTTGGAAGCAACCTAAGTGTCCATCAGTAGATGAATGGATAAAGAAGAAGTGGTACATATACACAATGGAATACTAGTCAACCATGAGAAGAAAACAAATCCTACCATTTGCAGCAACATGGATAGAGCTAGAGGATATTATGCTCAGTGAAATAAGCCAGGCAGAGAAAGACAAGTATCAAATGATTTCCCTCATTTGTGGAGTATAACAATGAAGCAAAACTGAAGGAACAAAACAGCAGCAGACTCACAACCTCCAAGAAGGGACTAGTGGTGATGAAAAGAAAAGGGGTGGAGGCGGGGGTGAGGAGGGAGGGAGAAGAGGATTAAGGGGCATTATTATTAGCACACATAATGTAGGGGGGTCATGGGGAAGACAGTGTAGCACAGAGAAGACAAGTAGTGACTCTATAGCATCTTACTAAACTAATGGACAGTGATTGCAGTGGGGTGTGAGGGGGACTTGACAATATGGGTGACTGCAGTAACCACAGTGTTTTTCATGTGAAACCTTCATAAGAGTGTATATCAATGATACCTTTATAAAAAATTTTAAAAAAACAAGGTGTGCCTGTGTATCTTGTTTTCCTGTTATTGGCTTGCCACATCTATCAGGTCATTCCTGGCCACATTTCTGCATGGCCAGTTTTTCTTTTGTGACTGTAAGTGTGTGTGATGCTTCTTCTTTCTTTAAATGTACTACTTTCCCTTTATCCTACTGCATTTTATCCTGCTATTGATGATCCTTTCTTTAATTTGTTGAGGTCAATTGAACTTTGATTATCTATGTATTTGGCATATCTATCTGCTTGGTGTCATATTAATATTTGTGAAGACTTTAACTTTCTTCCCACTGTCTAGACCCACATCTCAATACCCTTTTATGCCAATAGATAGTGAAGGTTAGAAATAAGAACTATGGCCCCAGAATCCCACATAACAAAACCTAGTATATCTGTAATTGACCATAGTTTTGTCAGCTGAGCGATGATATCTCTTAATGACAATCATAATTGTTATCAACAGATTCCTGAGTAACTATCACAGGTAGAAACAGTGATGAATGATACATTGGCCCGTGATCTTGAGACGCTTACAGACTAGATGAGGAGAAAAAAATAGAAAATGCACACTCATGTGTTTGGTGTGGCACTCTTCTACCCCTCTTCCTAACAGATTAAGAAAGAATAAAAAACTATAGGAACATGGGAATTCCCTCCTCCTCTGCCCTGTCCTCTTGCCGGCCTCCTTCAGAAGGAATAAATTGCTAACATGATTGGACAGAGCCTAGGACCTTAATGACTCCAATTTTTACTGGTGGTCAGGATCACTTTGTGTTGAAGGGTCACGTGAACCACGTTTGCTCCCATATCTTGCTGAGTAGGGCAGCCCAGTCTCCCGTACACACTTAGATAAGTAAAGCTGGTCTGCTTTACAGGTCGAATAGTCTGCATTCTTCAGGCATGCCTATGCATGCTGGTTCCAAACTTAGAGGGTGGAGGGGGAACAGGGAATTAGGAAGCTTCACTTCAGCCTTAAACCTGAGTCGTATGATTCAACCAAGTCTTTTAGCAGAGTTCTGTTTCAGAGGTTATTGGGTACTAGCTTAACTATGAATAGAATGATCCTTTGGTTTCTATTCCAATTTCTTCCTTGTGTATAGTTCCCTCGGGAACCCTAGAGAGAAGTGAGATGATTAGAAGAGCAGAATTTGGCTATTTCTGGCCCTTGAGTGTGGCAGACTATATTGCTGGTAACAGTTTTCACAAATTTTTGCTGCTCTTCCCAGGGAAGGATTATACTTCCCTACCCTACTCACATCAGATTTGGCCAAGTACACTTGTTCTGACCAAGACAGATGTGTAAGTTCCAGGCAGAAGCATTAAGAACCAGTGTGTGATTCACCATGATTGCTCTTCTTCTTGCATGAGACCAACACTCTTTCAGGTAAAGGTTGCCAGAAGCCTGGGTCCCAGCATGAAGACAATCTAGGATATAGCCTAGTTGATCTGCCATGGATATGTATGATATTTTGAGTAAAAACAAAAACAAAACTTTGTTGTTGTAAGCCACTTTGCAATCATTTATTACCACAGCCTAACTTAGCTTATCCTGATGATATATTTACTTATTACTACCTGCACTAAACATCATTGTTTATCCTCCCAACCTCTATTCTTTCGTCATTCCTCCTAAGGAAACCCCAATTTTGCCCAGGTATTCACCTAATTCTATGTGTTTCAGGGAGGGGATTCTAATTAATTATCATAATTTATTTAAGCCATTCATGATGGTTTCTTACTCCTTGCTGGTGACGGGTTTAGATGTGGCCATATCAGACTGTTGGAAGTTGGCTTGAGGGCTTCCGAGACAGGTTTGCCTCACTAATAAAAAGAGACACATGGGAGGAAACAATCTCTCTACTTCTGCTAGATGTTGTGTGCATGCATGTGTTAGCTGGAATTGTGGCAGCCATTTGGTAACTATAAAGGACACAAGCCTATGGATGTCACAGTGAAAAGATGGAGAGAATCTGGGTCCCTGATAATGTTATTTGAGCTGTCAAACGAATTAACCCTAGAGCCAACCTACCCTTAGACTTCTTATTATATGAGGTAATACATTTTCCTTATTGTTTACAGTTGAAATTGGAATGTAGGGGAAAAGAATGAGTTCAGCTTTAGGGACATTGAGGTGATGGCAGGGTAGCATCCTGTTATATTGCTGCATCTCAGGTGATGTCAGGATTAAATTTGACTTGGGGAGTCATCTATGGAGAAATATTACACAAAGTAACACATTTTAGAAAATAATCCTATACCTGGCATAGGACCTCTGCGCGTGAGGAATCTCGATAACAAAACATTACACTTGTACAATATAGCCATCTCCTGACAGGATATGCCACTGTCTCAGGTCCTCACGTAGCATCTATCCTAGAAAAAAAGAGATCACAGGGGTTGGTAGCAACCTCTTAGCAAAGGAGAGTAAAGACAGTGAGAAGGTGATTTCAACATCTGCATCCTCAGACCCTGCTCTCCTCAAGCCTGGTTTGGGGGATCTTCACGGCCATCTGCATATAATTCAAACATCGTAGTCTGTATAGATGACCATGAAAACGGGCTCTAAGCAACTTCTAAATGTACTGCTTCTTAAACAGCTTTTAGTAAATTCTCAATCTAGGGAACTATGGTTCTGATCATTTTACAGACATTTTATGTGTGATACTGCAGAAGCCCCATGGGAAGCATCAGAGTCAACAAAATACATACCCCAGGACATCAAGGAAATGGTCGTGTAGATGGGAGAGACTCTAGTGCCCAAGTTGATCTGTGGTTAGAGAATAGTTTTGGAAGTTACTAATCCTTAGGGCACTAGGTTGCTGTTACTAACTTTAAGAAAGTATGTTTATGGGAAGGGGGGGATATATTGAAGCACAAAAGGATTTACTTAACATTGCAAATAATTAATTTTTGAAATTGTTTAGACAGAACTTTTCCAAAGGCACATCTAATGAATAAATGCACACATCTGCATAATATTTACAGTGTAGCCTCTTTTCTGAGACATCTTGCCCAATTTCTAAGATGTCATTGCTGGGCTTGCCTTGAAATTACTATTGTTTCTTTAGCAAAAAAAAAAAAAGGGCATATATTTTAATCAGCAGGAAGAGCAAATGCAACCTCCAAAGACAGCTAATTTCAGTCTTGCAGTTATTTAGAAAGGAAAATCTGGCTTCAAACATTGTTTGCAGGCAGAATTTGCAATTGGCTAGGACCAACGACTGTGTCTAAAGATGACTCAGTTGTATGGCCTGGCGCGGGGAGGAGGAAGACCAGCCAGTGGTCCTTCTAACTAATAGGAGTCTTGGATTCACTTTCACCGCATTAAGGTTCTGCGGCCCAGAGCCACTGCAGACTGGGAAGGGGTGTCAAGTGTAAGAAAATCTGAGATCCCGAGAAATGCATCTTCAGATGATCTGAATGGCAGGCGGCTAAAATCCAAATTCCCCTCAAACCCTCACCCTCAGCTCCAGGCCAGGATTTGGGCAGATAATTCCCAGGCCAGGGTGCAACCGGGGTCCTACCCGAGACGACCTTTGGGACGACCCTGGGGCCCTGCGGCGAGCCCTGTGGGGGGCCGCCGGTGCCCCCAGCCTCCGATGCACGTGACCGCCTTTCGGACGCATCCAGCTGTCCGCTGCGCACCCTGAGTCCGCTCGCCGGGACACCCTCTCCGCCCTGCTGGCTGCCGTCCTGGCCACACCCACCGGGGTCCCGGGCAGGGCAGGGATGCCCTCGCTCAGCCTCGCGGTCTCCTGCTGCCGCTCCCGGGCTCCCCGGGCTCCCCGGGCTCCCCGGGGCCCCGAGCCCCGCCCGGCTCCCTTCCCCCGGCCGCCACAGGCCCCGGCCCCGCCGCCCCTCCTGGGCGCCGCCCGCGGAGGCCGCCTCTGCAGCTGGCCGCGCGGCCAGCCCCGCTCCCGCCGCCGCGCGCTGATTGGCTGGCGGGGCCGTCGGCGGCGCTGAGTGGCCGAGCAGATTCGCTGGGTCAGGGCTGCAGAGGCGCCTGGCGCACCGGCGGGAGCGGAGCCGCGGCGCTCGCTCGCCCCGGACGCCGGCCGGCCGCCCGCCCGCCAGCCCGAGCGAGCGGCCCGGGACGCGGAGGGGGCCCGCGCCGCGCCGGGCGCCGCCTCTCTGGCCGCCATGTGCTCCCAGCTCTGGTTCCTGACGGACCGGCGCATCCGCGAGGACTACCCGCAGGTGCAGATCCTGCGCGCCCTCCGGCAGCGCTGCTCGGAGCAGGACGTGCGCTTCCGGGCGGTGCTCATGGACCAGATCGCCGTCACTGTCGTCGGCGGCCACCTCGGTAAGCAAGAGGGCCCCGGGAGGGCGGGGAGCCGCGCCGGGGGCCCCGAGAGTAGGCCGCGTGGGGACGCACACCCGGGCCTCCCCCAGCCAAGTCTTCCTCGGGACCCCAGCCGCCCTCCCCCGCGGGACCTCACTGGGTTGGAGAAAGCCCTTTGCCGTGAGAGCTGCCTTTGACCGCCACTATCTGCCTTGAGACCAAGATTTGAGAACGGGATTTAATTTACTTAGGGGACTTCGTTTTGGAAGGAACTCCAACTCACCTGAAACCGCCTGGAGGTCCGAAAAAGCTGCTAACTCCAAATTTGTAAATTCTGCTTGCATCCATACTCTGTCAGTTTAGATTTTTAGAAACCCACACAAAATTTATAACACTGCCATTAAGTTAAGTGCTTTTAAAAGTTTTCCAGAAATGTGTAAGCTTCAGTAATGCACTACAGAATATTATTCCCAAGCTAGGAACCTGCATCTGAGGAAAATTGGAGTCATCTCTTGCGTGTAAAGTGGGAGAGTAAACCTTTCATGGGTTTTCTTTAAACTCATCCTCCTTCATAAAAGTGCTGAATTCTGATTCCAAAAAAGCTGAGATTTCAGATACAGGTCTCATTTCATTCTAGCCTCACTGATTTCTCCACTGCTGTGTTCAAGAGACTTTTTTGGGTAAGAAGTGGTTATCATCTGTGACCCTGCCCTCAAAAGGTTGAGTATGTTTTTACATAGTTATCCTTAATGGTAGCCTCTAATTTAGGAATCCTGTGATTTAGGAACGCACCCACTCAAATCCCCACCCTGGGCTTGCAGTTTTAAGTTTCTCCAGCTTCCGTTCTGGAGGTATTCAGCGACTTCAGGGGGGTCCAGGACTCAAGGGGTTTTGGGCCCAGTTCAGGGTGCTTTTTGGGATACCGTTCATATTATTTTGACCATACCTGATTAAATAAGTTCATAATTTATTACTTTTCTTTGGCAGGGGAAAGGGATACCAAATTTTGAACAGGCTGCTTAAAAATGAGATTTTAAAATATGACCTGTGTCTAAGTGGAATGTATCTGGTCTAGGTGTTTGATCCAAAACTTAAACTTTCATAAGTAATATCAGATTGTAGAGCCTGTTGGAGAAATATACTGCACACATTAGGTGTCATACATTTAGTGTAAAGCAATGCCAAACCTAACAGTTGATTTGCTCATACTCTAATAGTTAATGTAGAGCTAGATTCCTGAACAGGGCATCTGCAGATCTGGATTCTTATCACAGCATTGCTGCTAACAAGTATCTTAGTTTTGCCTTGCTCAAGCCACTTTATGTCTGAATCGCCAGGCTTCTCATTTATAAAATTAAGAGTTAAGGTGCCTCCAGCTCTAAAATTCTATGTCAAAAGCCATGCTTAACTGGAATAATCTGTTATTGTTTACTGGTCTAGATCTAGGTCTAGTTTATGCATCTTTCCACCCCTAGAGTCCGTTTGTTTGCTCTTCATTTTATTTGTTGTTTTACAGCTTGTAAAGATGCCTTTTGTGAGATACAGCAATCAAAATTCCACATCGTGTTCCTGTTGTAGACTCAAAATGTATTCTGTGAAAGAGTAGAAAAATGCTGTCTGTTTTGTATCTAAAACCCCATTTTAAAGAATCAACCCTAGAAAAAGAGAAAACAAAATTCTAGTGATGCAAGAAACATTTAAAGTCTTCTATTTAGTGTTAAAATTTTATTGGAATTCGTGTGTGAATGTATCTCAATCTAGTCACACATCAGGACTTACTTCTTTTTAAACTGCAAGCATATCTACATAGTTGTTTGCCTAGTTGATGGAGAAACTGAAGACAGGTATTTTTTTCCTAATCCAGACACAGCCACACACAAATCACAACAAAAAACAAACCTATTAGATCACTATTTGTGCCATCCAAAGCAGTCAAAAGATTTATTTGTTGTGAGGGTGGATTAATTAAAGCACAAAGAAGTGAGATCTGTGAGAACAGTGAGCTCATTTCCTTTGTTCAGTGCAAGCCACAGTGTTTAAAATGATGCCCTGCACTTAGTAGGCACTCAGTAAATATTTGAGAACGAATGAAGACATGCACTCCATTTCCCAGGTCCTTCTGCAGTCAAACTATAGATAACCTTTTGACAATTTGCTGAGCCAAAGTACTCCTCCTCTAAAATAAACTCTAGATCTTACTGGTTTTGAAAAACAGAAATAGATAAGTACAATGATATGCTGGTTCCCATTTGAGAAGTCCTGAATGTGTGAGCTGGGAAGGACTTAGTTCATCCATTCTGACGCTTTCATTTTACATATGAAGAACCTGATGCTCAAAGAGATGAAGTGACTTGCTCAGTGCTATCCAGCTAGCTAAGAGCAAACCGACAGTTAAAACCCTGGTCTGCTTCCCAGCCAGTGACAAGGAATAAGTATACTTTCGGATATCTGTAACCTATACTACCTTTCTTGCTGGATGTGAAATTGAACTGAGTTGAATTAAATTGAGGCTACGCAGTGACTTTGCAAGGTCAATTTATACTTTAGGAAATTAAGGTACTGCCTTTACAAAGTCTTCATACCTTTGCTCCTTTCCATTCCTTCTCAAGATTAGTGTCGGCGTAGATGAAAGAGCAAGTTTGAAATAGGTGTGGGCAGTACCTCAGCCAGTGGTTGAATTCTTTCCAGAGCTTTCCTCAGTAGAGACTAGTGGGGCCCAAAGCCAGAGATAAGAATTTCAGGTTATATCTGGAAATAGGAGTCAGACAAGAGATTAAATATTGTGAACTTAAAGAGTGTAGTTATTTTAAACAATATAATATAAGCTGGAAATGCTATGCAATACAAGGTTTTAGGATTATTATTTTTAACCCAGTGATCCACCCTCCCCAGCCTAGGTTTGGATGGGGAGACTGCTGTGAAGAGTGAAATGACATCTAGGTGACTGAAGGAACCCTGTAGAAAGTGCTTCCCTTCATCTTTCTGCTGGATGTAGCATTATGAGAATCATATCCATCTCCATTTCCTTCCCAGAAACCACAAGGTCTTCATTCAACAGACATTAATTCTTCTCAACCCTGGGGATTAGGTGGTAGTGAACGTGGAACCAAAATGCACATAGTAATAGTCAAAACAAAATATGCATAGTGTTTATTGTGTGCCTGGCATAGGTCTAGATTCTTTCTACATATTCACTCTAATAAACATTAATAAGAGTATCTGGGCACGTGGTCCTGGCTGGCAGGCAGTACCAATACTCAGGAATTCTGTTCTCGGCACTTGGTTTCTTCTCTTCAGCTCCATTCCACGCATCAGCCTTCCACTGACGTCGCCGTGTCTCTTGCACTGAAATTCCCTCTGCCCCAGAGGCCCATGTGCTGAACTTTTATTCATTCCTCATATCCAGCTCAAGTCACTCATGTCTATAAAGTCTTCCTTGAACTCTCTACCCTGCCCCCAAACAATCTCTCTCTTTCATTTGCTGCCAAATAACATTGTACCTACCTATTTTAAAATAACGTTCATCATATTTCATTGGGATTTTTCTATTTAAAAAATTTAGCCTCTCTCTCCCCCTAAATGACTGGGGATTCTGCAGATGTATGCCCCTTCACTGGTACACAGTAGGCCTTTCGCTGATGTTTGTTGGATGATGGAGTGGAGTGCCTTACAGGCTTACTTGAAGTATGTGAGACTTTTGCTACAATTAGCTTCCGTGTCTGGGAAATCATGATGGGGCGTATAAATGTTTTTGTGATGAGCCATTACATAAGGACAGAGTCACTAGTGCAAATTAAGTTCTTTGACCGCCCACAGGTCTTTACAATTAAGTGTCTCAAAAAACAAGGATAATCACAAACTCAGGGACAGACACCAAGACAGAAAAAATGAGATGACCTGGAAATGTTGCAGTGTGTCTCTTAGAAGCAGAATGATTCAGCATTCCTTCGTTTAATCTCAGAACTGAAACCTAGGTGGCCGGATGGCAATTTCTAGGTCAGATTCTTTAAATTAAGGTGTTCTGGGGGTACTTCTACTTGGTTCTTTGTAATAATCAGGTGAGACTTAAAAGGTTTGGGTTGGGGAGGGAATCCTAACTAAATTTGTATGAAGAAATGGCCTCATTGCAGCCTTCCAAAAGACAACAGGCTTCACAGAGAAAGGATGGCCTTCCATTCCTGTGCAAGAAGACCCTAGCAGGAAGGAGCACCATGCTGACTTGTGTGCACAGAGGTTGATAGTTAACCTCAGTCTCTGCCAAAGGCCTGTGCCTGACACCTTGGAATCCAAATAAACCACCATACAGCACCAGTGGAAAGGTCAGAGAATGGGTAGAACTACTCCCATATAATGTTTTCCATAAACGGACATTGAGTGCTGAATGGATATGCTTTACCCCATGGGTTCACATTTATATCTGTGGGCTGACCTCAAGGACCCAGGAAGGGTTAGATGTGTAGTTTATGTTTATGTTTCCAACAGACTACATCATGAACCATGTTGGGAAGAGTTCTAGAACCAGGAGATTGGGATCCTTAGTAGATCTCAAAGCCCTACTTCACAGATTTCTGAACCACCTGTTGCTGCTACTATAACACTTCCACTAGCAGAAAGGGTACAGCCACCATCAAAGAGGTCCATGTCATCCCCATCCATCCATACCTCCTTGTCACTCTCCTTATTAGCAGGGAGTCCACTGACATCCAGGTACATCAGTGCTAGCCTCACCTCACCCCATCCCCTTCCCCAGTGGGTAAGTGGGCCACCTGACCCCCTTCCCTGGGAGACTTCACCTTGTAAGGGGGTTTATATTGTTTTAACCCAAAGCTACAACACGCTCTAAAATTCCCAGTCTATTTCCATTTGATCCTTCACTATTAAAAAGTAATTGAAGACTCCACTATGAGAAAGTGATACATTTATGTTGCTTTGAGGAACTAACAAGAATAATGGTTCTTTATTCCTGTAACTCTGTTATTAATACTTTAATATATTTTATGTCTTAATCTTCATAGCAATCT